AGAACACGTCCCCCGCTCGAAGCAGAGGCTGGGCACTCATCTCTGAGCACTCGAAATCTCCCAAATCCTCACAACTGCCTTGGTTTACTGGCAGAGGGAGAAGAGCAAGGGCATTTTGTGCTCCTTATCTCTGGGCCCAGAGCTCTGGTGGCTGAGCTGTGTAATCGGTGTCAAAACAWGAGATTATCGAGGTTTCTCCTGGTGTTTCAGTGCCTCTGCCTGGTGGGAACGTTGCTGAGCCTGTCCTTGCATTCCCTTCCTCTCCTTGCTTTCCCTCCAGTCTGAGTTCAGAGTTATTTTAACACTGTTGGAAGTAAAATCCATGGTAATGTGCTCGTTATCCTGCTGGGGTCAGGGCTGAACTGTGCACGTGGGGCTGCAGTTACCAGATATTCCAGGCAGCATTTTCTAAATATTCCAGGCAGCATTTTTTACATATTCCAGGCAGCATTTTCTAAATATTCCAGGCAGAATTTTCCAGATATTCAGGCAGCATTTTCTAAATATTGCAGGCAGAATTTTCCAGATATTCCAGGCAGCATTTTCTAAATATTCCAGGCAGCATTTTCCAAGCTGCTGGCTGGGTTTTGCAAATTCCCAAGCAAAATGTTGCCTGTCTATAAAAATACATTTCTGAAATAGGACTTTTTTTTCCCTTTCTGAACAGAAAACCCATCCTGGGGTGGATCTCTGTAGGAGAGTGAGCCCGCAGTGGGTTTATCCCTGGATTTCTGGGGGGTAGGGGGGATTTATGTTTGATGTAGCATCAGTTACCTGCTAAAGGGGGTCCTCCCATGGCTGCTATCCCTGCAAAGAAGGCAGCGAAGCCCAGGTAGCTGTGGAGCTTCTCCACACCCACCAGATCCACCTGTTTGGAAAACCAAAACAAATCATTAGTGCTTGACTTCATAGGAATGCATGTGCACGAGTGATTAATTGATTTTTTTTTTTTAAAGCACAAGAGATGATTTGATTCTTTTTTCTTGGGGAATTTCCTCTTCAGCTGCAGCTTTGAGAGGACTTTGCCCCTGGAGCTCTGATCCAGCCTGGGATGCGTTCGCCTCCTTAAGGCCGGCGTGGAAATTACTGGGCTGGGAGATGCTTCTCTGCCTTGCAGCTGCCAGGGCTTTGGGGAAGGAGTTTTAAACTCTGAACGCCTCCAAGGAGGAAATGCCAAATTGTGGTGGTGCCTCTGTGTTCGGATCAGAGAATCCTGGAATGGTTTGGGTGGGAAAGGACCTTAAAGCCCATCCATGGGCAGGGACAGTGGAAGGGTGCTCCAGACCTTGTCCAACCTGGCCTTGGGCACTGCCAGGGATCCAGGGGCAGCCACAGCTTCTCTGGGCACCCTGTGCCAGGGCCTCCCCACCCTCACAGGGAACAATTCCTTCCCAATATCCCATCTAACCCTAATGGCAGTGGGAACCCATTCCCTGTGTCCTGTCCCTCCATCCCTTGTCCCTCTCCAGCTCTCCTGGAGCCCCTTCAGTCCCTGGAAGGGGCTCTGAGCTCTCCCTGGATCCTTCTCCTGCCCAGGTGAGCACCCCCAGCTGTCCCACGCTGGCTCCAGAGGGGCTCCAGCCCTGCAGCAGCTCCGTGGGCTCCAGCAGGATCCTCTGTGTGTTCCAGGTGAGCTGAGCCCCCCAGCCCTGCCCTGCACTCACCAGCACGGGCAGCACCAGGGCCATGAAGCCCCCGCAGAAGAGGGCGAAGGCCACGGTGTAGGTGAGGAGCAGCGGGAAGGTGGTGGCCAGTGGCCCCAGCAGGTTGGTGACCCCRCTCAGGAGCAGGTAGGTGACATGAAAATGGTACTTCTTGGTCCAGTTGTGGTCGGCCACCCAGCCTGAGAGCAGCTGGCTCAGCATCTCCGTGATGCCTGCGGGGACAGGAGCTCTCTGAGCCTTGTCAAACATTCCATTCTGTACAATATTTATATGCTAGAATTTCTGTGTATTTGTGTATATGACTATTGAATAGGAAAATTTTTATATTATATCCATTTACCTTCTGGTATTTTGATATATTATATTTTTTATATATTATATTTTTATATATTATATTTTTAAATATTATATATTTATATATATTTTTTACATATTATATTTTAATATATATATTATGGTATTTTTTACATATTATATATTTATATATCTATATTTTATGATTTTTTAAGATTTTTTTATATTTTATGGCATTTTTAGATATTATATATTTATCTATATTTTATGGTATTTTTCTATATTATATATTTTTATATATATATAATGGTACTTTATATAAATTTTCTATTTCTATATATTTTATGGTACTTTATATATGTTACATATTGTTATATATCTATATTTTATGCTATTTTATATAATATTTTTATACATATAGTTAATGGTATATTTATATATATTATATATTTATATATATAAATGGTATTTTATATAAATTATATATTTCTATATTTATACTTCTTGGTTTTTTTACATATATATTTATATATATATAGTGGTACTTTATATAAATTATATATTTCGATATATTTTATAATACTTTATATATATTATATATTATTATATATCTATATGGTATTTTATATATATTATATTTTTATACATATATTTAATGGTATTTTTATATATTATATTTTACATATTTTATGGTATTTTATATTATTTATACAGTCTAGTTATTAGTATCATATCAATTTATACAAGCACATGTATTTCATATATTTAAATAATTTATAATTTTATATYATTTATCATTATTTAGTGTTKACTCAATTTTTGTTTTTCATAATTTAATATCTATAGTAATATATCTATATTACAATATTTAATGCTATTTATTTTATATTTGTATTACAGTTGATTATTTATATTATTAACCCTCCTATAGTCTTATATTTATTTTATATTGTTAATTATTTATTTTACATTATTTTATTTATTATTTATTACTATATTACATAATTTCATTTATATCTATTATTTTCTGTTATTATATATAATTTCTTTTATTCACTGTGTCCCATCCCAATTCCCATATTCGTTGTAAGGACGTGACCACAAAGGGCTGAAATGCCAGAAAAGTTCCAGGAAGGTTTTTAGGCTGCAAAATCCAAGGATTGTTTTTTTTCCTTTTTTCCCTTGCGCTGCTCTGACCAAGGGYACCAAAGTGCTCAGGAAAAATTCTCTTTAGGGCTATGCAGCCCTGAAATGCCCTAAAGCAGGAACGAGGAACAAAACTTTGGGGTTTTAACAGCTGGGGAGAAAAAGCTGAATATTAAGAAAAATGTACCTGAGATTTTAATTTTTCTAAAGAACCAAAGAGCACAGAAAAGTCAGGAATTTTAGAGGCTCAGAAAGCCAGGAATTTTAGGGGCTCAGCAGCCTTTTGGTTGTTGGGGTTTTTGAGAATTGGGGTTTTAAGAGCTGGAATTTGATTGTTGGGTTTTGACAGTTGGGGGTTGATAGTTGGGGTTTTTGAGAGCTCAAGTTTTGAGAGTTGGGGTTTTAACAGTTGGAGTTTTGATAGGGTTTTGAGAGCTGGGGTTTTTCAGAGTTGGGGTTTGAGAGCTGGGGTTTGGAGAGTTGGGGTTTTGATGGTTGGGTTTTGAGAGCTGGGGTTTTTGAGAATTGGGTTTTAAGGGTTGGGGTTTTGAGAGCTCAGGTTTTAAGAGCTGGGGTTTTTCAGAGTTGGGGTTTTGATAGGGTTTTGAGAGTTGGGGTTTAAGAGTTGGGGTTTTTAAGAATTGGGGTTTTGAAAGTTGGGTTTTTTGAGAGCTGGGTTTTGAGAGTTGGGAGTTTTAAGAGTTGCGGTTTGATAGCTGGGTTTTGAGAACCGGGATTTTGAGAATTGGAAGTTTTAATAGTTGGGTTTTAAGATTTGGGGATTTTGAGAGCTGGGAGTTTTGAGAGTTGGGATTTGATAGTTGGGTTTTGAGAGTTGGGATTTTTGAGAGTTGGTTTTAAGAGCTGGATTTTGAGAGTTGGATTTTGGAGCTGGGGTTTGAGAACTGGGATTTTTGGGAGTTGGGGTTTTGGTAGTTGGGGTTTGAGAGTTGATTTTTACATTTCTTTTCACATTTTTACAAAGCAAAGCTCCGAGGAGCTCTCAAGTGAGCTTGTGTCCCCCTGACCGCTGTGTCCMTCCCACCCCTAATCCCAAATGTTCCATTAATTCCTGGGCTCTCCTAATCCTCAACAGTCCCTCACTGCTAAATATTCCCTAGCCCTGTACAAATAAAATGTATTTTTATACAATAAAATATTCACTACAGCCTCTTTCTTACTCCAGCATGGTTTTACTGTTAATCCCAGTTAATCCTGACAGGGGTTTGTTTTTTGGGGCGTTTGCCTCATTTTTTTCCCCATTTGGAGGTGAATGTGATGAACCCAAATGTCTGGTTCTACATTAATGTGGGTTTTTTTTTCCCCCAGTATTGAATTTTTCTCTCCTGGATCAAACCAGAGGGCTTTGAATGCACCTCTGGATTCTGGTGGTTTGTGGGTTCAAGCACAGCAGGGATTGTGGTGGCAAAATTTGTGATCAATGGGTGTAAAAAAACCCTTTGCCTCCCATCTCAGGAGACAGTTTGGGAGTATTTAATGGAAAAATTTGTGGGGTTTTTATATGATCAATGGATTTAAAAGGACCCCTTTGCCTCCCATCCCAGGACACAATTTGGGACTATTTCTTGGCAAAATTTGTAGGCTTTTTGTGTGATCAATGGGTGTAATTACCTCCCATCCCGGGACACAATTTGGGACTATTTTATGACATAACTTGTGGGGTTTTTGTGTGATCAATGGGTGTAAAGGATCCCTTTGCCCACCATCCCAGGACATATCTGGGACTATTTCTTGGTCAAATTTGTGGGGTTTTTATGTGATCAATGGATTTAAAAGGACCCCTTTGCCTCCCATCCCAGGACACAATTTGGAACTACTGCTTGGCAAAATTTGTGGGATTTTTGTTTGATCGATGGGTGAAATTGCCTCCCATCCCAGGACATATCTGGGACTATTTGATTATGGAATCTGTGGGGGTTTTTGTGTGATTGATGGGTATAAAGGATCCCTTTGCCTCCCATCCCAAGACACAGTTTGGGACTATTGCTTGGCAAAATTTGTGGAGCTTTGTGTGATCAATGGGTGGAATTGCCTCTCATCCCAGGACATATCCAGGACTATTTCTTGGCAAAATTTGTGAGATTTTTGTGTGATTGATGGGTGTAAAGGATCCCTTTGCCTCCCGTCCCAAAACACAATTCGGGACTATTTCATTGCAAAATTTGTGGGGTTTTTTTGTGTGATCAATGGGTGTAAAGGACCCCTTTGCCTCCCATCCTAGGACATACCTGGGACTATTTAATGATGAAATTTATGGGTTTTTTTGTGTGATCAATGGGTGTAAAGGATCCCTTTGCCTCCCATCCCAGAACATATCCACGACTATTTCTTGGCAAAATTTATGGGTTTTTTTTGTGTGATCAATGGGTGTAAAGGACCCCTTTGCCTCCCATCCCAGAACATATCCAGGACTGCTTCTTGGCAAAATTTATGGGGTTTTTTTTGTGTGATCAATGGGTGTAAAGGACCCCTTTGCCTCCCATCCCAGGACATATCTGGGACTATTTAATGATGAAATTTATGGGGTTTTTTTGTGTGATCAATGGGTGTAAAGGACCCCTTTACCTACCAGCCACGGCGATGAGGTAGGAGCCATCCCTGCTGCTCATGCCCAGCGTCCTGGCCCTCGCCACCAGGTGGAAGAAGGGCACAAAATAGGCCAAGTGGCTGAACAGGAATGACCAGGTGAAGATGAAGAACACGGGATCCTTGAGTGGGGAAAAATCCAGGAGAGGCTGGGAAGGTTCTTTTGTGGTGCCTGGTAGGGATCTGCAGCTTCTCGTGGCCTCTGGGCTGGATTTCTGGAACCTTCCAGACGGATTTGCTGCATCAGAGCYGTGGGACATCACGAGTTTCTCCGTGGTTGGAGCCTCCTGTGCACTGTGGAGCTGTAATTCTCCGTGGGTGCTTCCATGTGAACATATGTCAGGAATTTCGGGATCCTTTTTTGCCATGGAAGATTCCCGGTGTTGATTTTCAGYGGATTCCCGAGGGACTCGGGTGGTGACGGGCCACAACAACATGCTGGAAGGGACCAGGTTCAGCATGATGCCTCCAAAAATCAGGAGAGTTCCTGAGGGAAGGCAGGGTGGGGGGAAAAAAAGCTAAATATTAAGAAAAATGTGCCAAAAAAATTGATTTTTCTAAAGAACCAAAAAGCACAGAAACTCAGGAATTTAGAGGCTCAGAAATCCAGGAATTTTTGAGGCTCAGCAGCCTTTTGGTTGTTGGGTTTTTGAGAGTTGGGTTTTTGAGAGTTGGATTTTGGAGTCAGGTTTTGAGAATTGGGATTTGAGAGTTGGGGTTTTAAGAGTTGGGTTTTTGAGAGTTGGGTTTTAAGAGTTGGGGTTTTTGAGACCTGGGGTTTTTGAGAGTTGGATTTTGGAGTAGGGTTTTGAGAGTTGGGATTTGAGAGTTGAGGTTTTAAGAGTTGGGCGTTTTGAGAGTTGGGTTTTTGAGAGTTGGGGTTTGGAGTTGGGTTTTAAGAGTTGGATTTTTGAGAGCTGGTTTTTGGAGTTGGGTTTTGAGAGTTGGGTGTTTTGAGAGTTGGGTTTTTGAGAGTTTAGGTTTTGAGAGTTGGGGTTTTAGAGAGTTGGGTTTTAAGATTTCGGTTTTGAGAGTTGGGGTTTTAAGAGTTGAGTTTTAAGAGTTATGGTTTATTCTTGGTTTGGAAAGGGCAGGAGCAGCAGGAAATGGCCTTTCTAGAGCAGGGCATAGCTTGCACTGRCCACAGAGAAAACTCTGCCATGGGAAGGAATTTTGCCTTTTCCTTGTGGAGGAGTTAACAAAGTTGGGATTTTTATTCCTGTTTTTCTAGCTGGAATTTAATTTTCCTGTTATGCAAAGAATAAATCCACAGCTGCCTCTGGGGTCTGGGACCTTATTTTGCTTTTCCTCCTTTAAAGCCGTGATGGACCCTCAATATGGTCTTGAAACCTTCAAACAGTAAAAGTAGCGATTCCTGATTTGATTTGAGGCCTGTGCTTTGATTTTAATGAGTGATTAAATGCTTAATAATTAACAAGAAGTCTCCAAGCTATCCTAGAAGAGGCAGAGCTGTTCCTCGGTGGTTGAATTTTTAAAAAGARCCTCTCACCCTGCCCAGATCTCCCTGAAATGGGAAGGAGCAGGRGATTCCTCACCTTGCCAGCCGTAGAACTCGATGAGGCGCTGGGTGAAGGGGGCCATGAGGAAGGTCAGCCCCATCCCCGAGCGTGCCAGGGCGTTGGAGAGTGCCAGCCGTGCCCTGCAGCGCTTGGCCGTCATCACCGCCCCTGCCTGGTACAGGCAGGCAAACCCCAACCCTGCGGGGAGGTGCAAAATCAGAATTCTGTGCCCAAAAAGGGATTCCCTGTCCCGCTGTCCCTGGCTCTGCGACGTTMCCGGGATGAAAAGGGATTTCAGCAGTCAGGGGAGAGTGAGGTTTGCTGGGTGGGGTTTGTGTCTGAGGGGTTGGAGGCTCTGCCCTTTTATTGGGTGTTTTAAAAAGGTCAGGATCTGTGTAGGTCCAGGAAAAAATCGAGGTTAGTTGGGAGTGGAATGGTGAAATTGGTGTTTTATCCTGAGCATGAAGCCTTGGGAGTTCACAGCATCTCACAGAAAGGAGTTGGGGATGCTTTGGCACTAAAGGAGGCAGAGTTACAGAATGTTTGAGTTGGAAGAGACCCACAGGAATCATCCATTCCCACCCCTGGCCCTGCACAGACACCTCAAAATCCCACCCTGGGCCTGGCAGCGCTGTCCAAATCAGCGCTGTCCAGAGCTCCTGGAGCTCTGGCAGCCTTGGGGCTGGGACCATTCCCTGGGGAGCCTGGGCAGTGCCCAGCACCCTCTGGGGACAGAACCTTTCCCTGATGTCCATCCCAACCATTCCTGACCCAGCTCCAGCCCTCCCCTGGCTCCTGTCCCAGATCACCTCCAGCTCCTCTTCCCCACCTGAACAAACCCTCAGCTGCTTCCCCTCGGGCCCATGCCCAGGTTTAGGGCTAAAGGATCTGATTTATGGCACACAGAGATCTCACCCAGGAGCAGTCCCATGGAGAAGCAGAGGAAGGGGACGCTGGTGGCCTGAGTGCTGAGCAGGCAGCCCCCGGCCACCAGCGCGGCGCCCACGATGGAGGTCGGCCGCTCGCCCAGGCGCTGGCACACCACGGACACGAGCGGGGCTGCGAGGGAAACGGGGACACGGCTCAGCCTCTGGGGGCAAAAGCTCCTCTGCAGGGTTTGGGGACGTGTTTGGGGTCACTGGAGCTGGGGCCCTGGGGAGTGTCCCTGTGCAGCGCCAGGAGCAGGGGGTGACAGAGGTTTGGGATGGGTTGATGTTCKGGACAGATTTCACCTGTACCCCAGGAGCTCGGGGAATGGGGCAGGGAAGGAGGCAAAGCCCAGCCTTGCAGCTCTCCTGAGCCTGCTAAATCAGCCCAGGGCCAGCAGCTCTGAACCATCCCACAGCTGGGACAGGATTGATGTTTGCTTGGGATCTGTGCAATGAACCTACAGGGAAGTTTAGAGGATCCCAGAACCGTTTGGGTTGCAAGAGACCTTAAAACCCATCCAGTCCCACCCCTGTCATGGGCAGGGGCACCTTCCATTGTCCCAGGTTATTGCAAACCCCGTCCAACCTGGCCTTGGGAACTTCCAGGGATACAGGGGAAGCCACAGCTTCTCTGGGCACCGTGTGCCAGGGCCTCCCCACCCTCACAGGGAAGGATTTCTCCCTAACACCCGATTTCTTCCCAAGATCCTATGTGAATGGCACACAGCCTCACATTCCTGCTCAGACACGTGTGTGGGTATCAACCATGTCCAGTTTGGAGCAGGCTGGGCTGGGAATTGGACCCACAGATCACTGCTGCCCTGCTCCAATCCTCGGGGACACCCCCTCACCTCCCAGGAAACGCAGCGAGGACATGATGGAGCCGATCCAGCTGAGCTGCTCTGAAGATCCCCCAATCTCCTCTCGAAAAGCCACGAAGAAAATCCCAAAGGTCTTGAGCATCCCCATCACCAGCACGTTGACCTGAGTTGAGAGGGGGTGGAGGTGAAGCGCCACAGTGGGGTCAAGA